ATTTGAAATTGGAATTTTAAAAGTCAGGTTTTGTGTAATTTCAATTTTTTTTCGTCTGTAATTATCACATCGTTGTTGTTTAATTGGATGAGAAAATTTCACTTTTAATCCCCAATCTTTAGTACCCATACGTTTTCAGTCCCAAACCTATAAAATTGTTCTTCTCATTCTCTAGCACAAGATGAGTCATTGGGGGCCCAAACTACGGATGACAACCGGCTTGAGCAACTCGAGAGTTCTCAAGCTCAACTTGCGAAGCTCATGCCTATTATACGCTCGTCAACCATATTAAAAATAGATTTTTGATATATTTAAAGAACAGTTATAGATTGCTTTGTTACTTTTACATTTTATTATTTATTCATTAAAAATTATACTTTGTTTCTTTATTATGGTTCATCGATTGCTTGCCGCTCTTCTAGTTGTTTGTTCGTCGAAATGGATCGTCATGGCTGGATCAACTCAAATCGATCATCCATCAAAACCCTAGTCTTGTCATGGATAATCCATCCACTTCCAACATTATCCACCGACACTATCTCCATCCGTCCACTGCCCAACCACACTACGAGAAGGACACGCATTGACGAATATTTTGCATTTTCATTATTTGTAATATAATTGTCATCATGTAATAATTTTTAAGTTCTGATACAACCACGTTGCATAAAACTAAAAATTAAACATAAAATGCAGAAAGAGAAGGCTGGCAAAATGCACAAGCATAACCCAATCCCACAAGGGATTCGGGATTCCCCTTCCACTGGGGAATAGGTGGGAATAGAAAACATGATCACTCACCTGAATATATCCCAACTATTATTATTATTATTATTATTATTATTATTATTATTATTATTATTATTATTATGTGTGTTTTTAAGTTTAGATCATATTTAAAAATAACAGCCAATACTAAAAGAATAAATAAAACGTTAAATTGGACAGAAAACAAAAAAACATTTTAATGCCTGCTCCATCCTACCTCTATCACAAATAATGAGCGAGAATTGATGATGAGTGATTGTTCGAAAACTTAACAAACTTTGGGTGGGCTCGAGCCAATCCACTTTTTGTATTGATTGGTGAGTTGGGTGGAGCCTCCTAATAGTAGGTTAATAGAAAAAAATTCAAATCATAAGAGTTAAAATCAGATTTTTAGTAAATTTCGATAGAAATTGACAAAGTTCGTGATTGAAAATTTCTGGATTTTATGAAATGTATTGTTAAAATTAATTATTGATTTTAACTTATATTAAAATCTGAATTTTAATTTCTATTGAACTGGAGCTAAATAGAAGAGTTTTTCTTTGTGTTCTTGCATCACCTATCATTTCAAGAGGATTTCTTCTATTTTCCGCTTATTTATAGAATTCCTCATCCTCAATTTCAATTGTCTTTGTTTGAGTCCCATTTTTTTTTTATCAATATGAATTATTGAACAGTGATTTGAACTCATTTCAATATTTAGTTTTTTTTAATCAAGCCAAGTTTAACTCATATTTTTTCTTAGTTTTTACCTCCGTTTAGCATTTTTCAAGTGTTTTTAAGTATTGAAATATTCATGGTTTTCGCTTCTTTAGTGTGGGTGAAGCCATGCACTTGCAATGATGAAGCATAATTTTAATATTCATGTCGACTATAGGGAGCAAAAATTTGCATATATTCCATTGTCCGCTTAGGTGATGATTGGCTTTACTTTGGCCTCATTTTCTTTGTATTTAGAGAATGTTCATCCATTTGCTTGGTATTATCCTAGATTTTATTTGTTTACTGTTTCTCCAAGAACCATGATCTGTTCTTCAGTCTTTATCAAAATGATATTATATTATCTTGAAGCAGCCAAAACCTATTAAAACAACACAAAATACATAATTCTTCCAACTTTGGATTTGCTAGTCTTTGGAGAAAATATGCTTAAGACATGCCTTAAATATAGTTGTAGAAGGACTTCTTGTTTGGAATTTTGATCCTGTATAAGTAGCAGAGTCAATGAGGAAAAGTATATAAATCAATATCATTGCAGTAGAAACCAATATATAAGTATTGCTATTCTAGTAAAAAAATTATGTTTAAAACCTTATAATAATTAGTCGCCTAGAGCCTCAAAGTTCTCAGAGTCGGCCTTTTATATGAACACTAGTCGACGCACGTGCAATGCACGTGTTTTGCTTTAATTGAGTATGTAATAGCGTG